TTGATTGGAAATTTTTTTCTCAAAAAATGGCGGTGTAGCACAAAAAGTTCAGTGACTAAGTGACTTGCACTATAGTAATAGTAGTGCCCAAAAGTGCAAACACATAAAGGTAACACACAAAAGTGTGATCGATTTTTCAATAGTGATATGCAAGAGCGTCCTGACTTTATGACATGGAAAAATGATACCTGAAGGCAAATAAGGTTTCTAGAGTGCAAAAATATAACTTTTGTTAATATGCAAAGGTAGAATAATATAAGGCAGAGATAAAGAAAAGTTGTGCTTTTACGTATTACCAAATAGATGAGGTATCATTTTGGAATTACGTGCTTCATCCTCATATTCGGATGCAATGTACAAAGCCAAGGTACATATTGCCATTTCAGCATTATATACTTCATCTTTGTGATTGAAAAAAAATTGACTGATCGTCTAGGAGATGTGGTAATATTTATAGTGGATAACAAATTGGTAGATAATGATAAAAATCAAAAACCAAAGGAAAATAAAAATTGAAATTGTTTGAAATCAGTGTGATGGTATTAGAGATGTGTACTTTTTTTTTATGAATTGGTTTTCAATCAACACTGTGTGTTTGCCCTCAACATATGTTTAAGTGTCTCTTAAGTGATGATGAATTCACAAATCAATCATCACTTGAATTTACTTCTTAAGTGACAATGCAAATACAATAAATATATCAAAATATTGCATGTTGCATGTTGCATCTGATACAATAAAGTATATTCCGTAATATTTAATTAAAACCAAAATATCAGTGAAATTTTTGAGTTATATTCATATCAATACATCTTGATGGCTTCATAGGGGACACCTTTGTGAAGTTATCTCCATCATCAGATGATTCTAGCGTAGTGATGGTTTCATATTGGCTTTCTAAACAGTTCCATACCTCATTTGCAGAAGCGACCCTTTTTTTAAATGCCCACATCATCCACAGAAAAAGGGAAAGTTTTGTGATATCACTGAGGAATTTTCATAGACCCAATTTTTCGAACTACATAAAAGGGCTTAATGTGCTCCATCTCAAACAAATTTTTGTGTATATCCATAACATTGTGAACCATATACACACAAACCCTCTTTTGGTATCTTATAGCCTAATTCATGCTTTTCTTTCTTAGAAGCATAAACATGTCTCTCATTTCTTGAAGCAACTTATAAAAATCTTCATAAGATATTTCCAAAACAAAGCATTCATGTCCATCATTTGACAGTCCTGCTCCATCCCCTTTATGTCCCATTGTAACTTTTGGAAGTTAAAGAATATCATGCCTGCCATTTTTTCTTGATGCTGTTGAATTTAACTCAACCTCTCCCCATGTATATTCAATATCTTCATCACACACAGCTTTCTCCGTTACAAAACTCATTATTGTGCTCCACATGGCTTCTGTGGTCAAAGAATGTGAGATGACATTTCTTTTACTTGTAAGTTCACTAACAAAAATATGGATAACCAGTAATGCATATTGCTCAAATAAGGTGATGCCTCCTTTACCTATATCTATCCATACCTGTGCAAACTTCTGCAACAAAGATTCTTTATCATTTTTAGCCATTTGTAAAATGGGTTTAAGTCTTCTCAATAAACTTTCTTCTGCAGGACATAGTTGTTGGCCTCAAATTTGCTTCCAGGTTGATTTTGAACACAGAGATTTGAGTATTTTGAAAGGTTATCACTAAGGTTTCTGGTCCAAACTGTTTTCTCAAAGCCCAAACTAGTTTGGGCAATTTGGGCTTCTCAACATTTTCTATAAGCATGAACATTAAAAAACTATATGAATCAACTTGTTTTAACTTAAACAACTTTAAAATAATTTCGCCCAATTTCGGCTAGTAACAAAAAGTAGTTTGGGCTTATAAAAAAATAATTTTTGCCCAAAGTATTTGGGCAATTTCAGCTACTAATAGAAGCAGTTTCGACCAGAAACCTTAATTTGGAATTGATTCTGGAAATTTTTGTTGATCAATTCATATAGTGATGCAAACGAATTAACATGATAACTTTCATTTATTTTTTATCACTTTTTTTTTACACAAACCTCCATAATAATAATTGAAATAATACCTTCAAACTTTCTCTTTCATAATCTGTAGAAAAACTGTTATACAGTCAACCCCCCTATATGCACCCCCATAAATGCACTTATGGGGTTGACTGTAATCTGTTAATTTGAAAGAAGTATGCTTTTATCCAAATTTGACAAATTTTTGTACAAAATGTTTGCTTTTTACCTAAATAATATTTTTTTTATTATTTTAGTGAATAAAATATCAAGACCATTATCCAGCACATTACCTTGCTTATTTGCTGAACTTGTTGACATATACTCAAAGAGTCATGACTTGAAATCATGTGAAATTAAAATTAATCAACCTTGGAGGCGAGCATCAGGAAAGGCAGTAATAGAACATGTAGGGGTGGGACTATACATGCAGCCCAAAGTATTTTGACACTGTCATAAAGGGGGTTACACATGTAGTAAAGGGGTGTTACACTTATGTTTTTAATAGTGAATGCTGTAATTAATTTCTACTTTCTACCATCAAAATTGGAATAATCTTGACCATCAAAATCACCAAACCAATTTGGGCTGCATGTATAGTCTTGACAGTTTAGAAGATGGTAATGGAATTGATAGTGATGAAGCTATTGAGGAAATGAAAATAGATGAAATTCCAATGAAAAGCTACAAATAATGAAGGCTGTTCATTTGTATTTTGTACTTTATGTAATGTTGCTTTATGTTTAAACCCAAAAAGAAATTGGTTTCTAAAGTATCATAGTAGTGATTAATAATAAATCAATTTTACACAAAAATAAAAATATGTACATGATTTTCAACACATTAAAAATGAAAACATGTGCTCTAAACTGGTTTTTTTTTAAGTAAACTGTCTATTAGAAATAGTATTTTTACATAATTTACGGTTTAGGCCAAATAATCAATGAGCAAAAACTTTTTCTAATCATAACTATCAAAAAAATTAAAAAATCGGGATTTTTTTACAATACACCCTTTTTTCACACCAATTAAACTCCCCCAAAATATCAAATAAAATGGTTTATATGTATAAACTATACCTTTTTGACTATATATTTAAAATCAAAAAAAAAATGGGGGTCAAATGATAACTTTGTTGTTTAGATGGGTCTACAATAATTTAAAATTTTAGACCAAATATGGTCTAAATTTTTGTTTGTTTAAGGGATAATGAGCAGTAGCATCAATACTGCAATATTGTGTTTTATTCTTTGAATGATGTTGGTTAACTAGTTTCCTTTGTTCTTCTGCTAAGTTGGTGTTTTTATTATAATAATTTCTTTCTACTTTGGCTTTAGACAGATGTCATTTAAATCTTTTGAGTAATTCTTTAGCTTCATCCTCTTGGCGAGCATTATAATGTAAACCATTTCGAAAATGTTGACATGTATCACATAAATCAGTCCTTGGACTCATAATTTGAATTTCTTGTGTCAATTGATGTCATAACTTCCTGAATGCATCATACTTTAAAGATTCAAATTATTATCTTCCTCTAGACCAGCTAGAAAGTCTCTGTACACTGATTTATAACTCACTTCAGCTGTAAAATATAACTGATTGAGTTATTCTATTGGTACTTCTATCTGGACTTGGTAATCCTTGTACCTCAGCATAATTTTCAAGGAAGTTTTTCACTATTTCAGCAATATCTTAATCAATCATCATTTTAGTTTTCCATTGAGGAATCCTTTTAATATTACCATGAACTCTTGGTAAAAGACCATTGTTTATCAGATGATTTCTGACATTTTCAAAATAACATCAGGAAATTTTTAAGGGGATACATAGGTAGACTTGATAAGTCAGTTCCTCAATAAGTCAGTTTTGGCCTAACTCAATCAAAAATTTTCAGCCCTTTTTTTCCCTATTTAAAACCCCTTGATAAGTCAGCCAACCTATATAAAGCCACGATTAATGTTGGTTTTCAAAATTAGAGAGTTTTGCAATTGTGCAAAAGTCAAAACTAGTTTTGATTTTTGACTATTGACTTTGATTTATTTTGACATACAACTTTTAGTTTTAGTTTTGACTTCGCCTTTTCAAATAGTTTTGGCAACCAACATTAGTCGCGATAAGTTGTAAGTCTGCCAACCCTTCTTTTTAGGATAAGTAAATTGTTCTCGATAAGTCAGACTCACGTGACATTTTCATTAAATAAAAGATCATCATTACTACTTTTAGTAACGTATTTTTTTTTTTTAGAATTTTATATCATACTGTCATTATATCTGATGATTTAGAAATTCTTATCGTGATATTTTATTATTTCATTTTTTTATCATCGGGTTATATATCATTGATTGTATAACTTATTGCCTAATAATTTAGAAAGAATATTCTTGTATGTATTGTGAAAATACATTTATTTATTTTTATTATGTTTTATTGTGTTTGGAAATATGTATAAAAAGGTTGGTTGATTTTCCAAACTTCTGAAATTCTAAGAAAAAGATTAATATGAACAATTATTCCTTAAAAAACTATTTATTTAGAATAAAAAAAAAATTTTTTTCATATTTTATCTGTTTTATTATTTATTTTGTTATTTACATATGTAAACTCGATAAGTCGGTCATGTCGGGGCGACCGACTTATTGAATTTCACGTGATTCTTTAATTTATTAAAATAAAAAATATTAACATTGAAAATATAAACATCGAAAATACACAGTGAGTCTCGGTTGTTTGTTCCAGGAAATTTATCCGCTATACCGAGTCATCCGTAATGCCGAGATAACCGTAAAAAATCGAATTTTGATTAAATCATGTGATACATGTTACGTAAAAAATTAATTTTATTTTTAATAATATAATAATAATAAAAATACAGTTGGTAAAAATTTTAAAAAAAAAACAATTCATTCACTTAAAACGTTGACATTATAATAATCTTCCATTCTTGTTTGCACTTGTTCTTGAGAATTTTTGTAAGAAATTTAACTTTTTAATCTTTTGACATTGAAAATCAATATCTAAAATTTTGCTGTACATATTTAAGTATAATTTCCAGAGCTTTTATAACTTCCATATTAATGATCATCAGCTCAGGTTCATTCAACTTCATTTTGTCCTTTTACAATATTTACGATTTAGCATATAAAGAAATAAAAGGAAATGACATATTGATAGTGTCATTGCCAAGAAATATTACGAATAAAAATTATTAGATCATATGTTACTAAAATAGTAACGATGACCCTTTACATAATGAGATATCACGTGAGACCGACTTATTGCGATTCATTTAATTATACTTGGGCTAAGTGATTGGCCGACTTAGCACTTATCGCGACTTTATATAGATTGACCAACTTATCGAATTTTTTAAATAGTAAAAAAACAGGGTGAAAATTTTTGGTCGAGTTAGGCAAAACTGACTTATCAAGTGACCGACTTATTGAGTTTACATATGTAGTTGGCTCAGTCTAAAGACCTCCTAAATTTTGGGCAAATTTTAAAAGTATAGAAGTCACTTTCTGTCCTACCTTTTAAAAAATAGCTCTATTAGTTGATAGAATATGTCTTTAGTTTTAATGTAATAGAGAGATTTTCTCAAAAAAATTATTTGTTGTAGAGTTCTATTCTTTTTTAAAACATGTACTTTACTATGCTTGCGAGGAATTTGTCCACTATTATCATTTCTAAATTTAGGAACAATATTACCAAATTTAGACTAGCTCTCGACTATCATATCTAAATTCGGCAGCAAGAAAACTAAAATCACATGAAGTCCTATTTTTTGAAAAATTTTATTACATTTTTGAACGAATTACAAAATTGCTATTTTGAAATTTGGCCCACATGGCACAGCAATAGGAGGTCTTTAGACTGAGCCAACCATATTCTTATTGGTAATTTAATGATCAGCAATGTAAAAATAGTCAACAACCAATTATTAAAAAAAGTTATACAAAAACCACAAGAACAACACTTGAATTAAGGTTGCTTGCTGAAACCTCTTAATGACTACTGAAACTCTAATAAACAATTAGTGTGTAACCTGCCAAAACTCTGCTAATTCTCAAAATCCATAAATGCAAAACTCTGCTGAAACTCTAACAAACAATTAGTGTGTTACCTACTGAACTCTGCCGATTGATTTCCAGAGGAGTTTTGGCAAGCAACCATAACTTGAATATTTTTTTTTGCAAACTGATCGGCTATGTTTCAGAGAACATTTTCATATTAGGAAGTGATATGCTTATAGAGAATTTTATATATCAGAAAAATTTTATCAGCTATCAATAGCCAATTAATCATTTAAGGGATAGCATAAATATACTAATTTAGGTAATAAATACTAAAAAATTTTAAATAACTAACATCATTGTATGACACTCTCCAATATTATATAAACAGGTGGGACCGTTCTGGGAACACAAAAATTAACAGGAGGGAACACAAAATTTTAACCCATGCTATTTGTTGATT